CGCTAACGCTTAAGGCAGCAAATAAATCCGATATAAAAACATATGGCAAGCGTAAAGTAACCTTGAATTTTGGTCGTAGCACTTCATTCCGCTGGGAATTCGTCATCGCAGATGTATCCGTACCTATAATTGGTATTGATTTCTTAAAGAATTTCGACTTACTAGTGGATACCCGACGAAACCGGCTCGTGAACGGAGACCATTCAGTAGTGATAAAAGGAGTGACAACCGATTACGTATCCATGAATTTAGTAGTCTCAAAAGACAAAAGCGAGCCATATAGAGCGCTTCTAAATGAGTTCACTGATTTGACGAGAGCATCATACGATAACAGAGATCTTAAACACACTGTACAGCACCATATTATAACGAAAGGTCCACCGACCAACGCAAGACCACGGAGGCTAGACCCAAATAGGTTAAAGATTGCGAAACGAGAGTTCGAAAAATTGATGAAGCTTGGTATCGTAAGACCGTCCAATAGTCCCTGGGCATCCCCGTTGCATATGGTTCCCAAGAAAAACGGAGAAATCAGGCCATGCGGAGACTATAGAGCCCTTAATAAGCAAACTATAGCAGACAGATATCCGGTACCGCATATCCACGACATTACTACCAATATGGGAGGTGCCACGATATTTTCAAAAATTGATCTTGTTCGGGCTTATTACCATATTCCCGTGTCGGCAGAAGATATACCTAAAACGGCTGTAACTACTCCATTTGTGTTATTTGAGTTTTTGCGAATGCCCTTCGGATTAACTAACGCAGCCCAAACTTTCCAGAGATTCATCGATCAGGTTGTCAGGGGTTTGACAGGAGTGTATGCATATATCGATGATATACTAGTAGCTAGCGCTACCGTGGAGGAACATCTACAACATCTACGACAGTTGTTTATGAAACTTCAAGAACACGGCGTCACTATTAATGTGGATAAGTGTGAATTCGGAAAGGAATCATTGCAATTCCTAGGTCATATGATAAATTCACATGGTATCATGCCAGTTCCAACAGAAGTTGCTGCTATTCGTAATTATCCGTTACCTGAGTCACAAAAAAAATTACGACGATTCTTGGGGCTAATAAACTATTATAGACGATTTATTCCAAACTGCGCAACAATATTACAACCATTGACGGACGCTTTGCGAGGATATACTCGGACATTTCGTCTTTCAGCGGATGCTATACAAGCTTTTCAGAACGCTAAGCGAGCACTAGACGAGAAGATGATGTTAGTACGACGAAAGAACGAAGCACCATTAGCCGTCATGACGGATGTATCGAACATAGCAGTAGGAGCCGTATTGCAGCAGTTAGTGAACGGTATATGGGAACCACTTTCATTTTTCTCTAAGAGATTAAACCCCACCCAGACGAGATATAGTACGTTCGGAAGAGAACTATTAGCGATTTATTTAGCAATAAAACATTTCCGACATATGATCGAGGGTACCATTTTCACAGTATATACCGATCATAAACCCCTCACGAAAGCATTAAACGCCAAACAGGATAACTACTCGCCGAAGGAAATTAGACAATTAGAATTTATTTCCCAATTTACGTCTAACATACAGTATATCAAAGGCGATAATAACGAGGTGGCAGACGCGTTATCCAGAACGATGGTAAACGCTCTCATCCAATCCGAAATCGATTATCACAAATTAGCAGCATTACAAAACATCGACGTCGAGTTAAACAGACTAAAGTCTGCAAATACAACCTCGTTAGTACTCGAAGAAACTCCAATAAAAAAAGTAAGTATCATGTGTGATATCTCTACGGGTCAACCACGACCATTTATTCCAAAGCCATTAAGACGAAACATTTTCGAAACTATGCATAATATTCCGCATCCCGGAATAAAGGCCACCATTAAACTAATCAGCGAGCGTTTCGTATGGCCAAGTATGAACCGGGATATTCGTAACTGGACGCAAGCGTGTATAAAATGCCAGAAAGTTAAGATAAATCGCCACACCAGTTCCGCAGTAGGTCAATTTCGCCACCCCGACAGCAGATTCGAACACATACATGTCGATATCGTGGGACCGCTGCCAATCTCAAATGGCTTTAATTACATTTTCACTTGTATTGATCGATTCACTCGATGGCCTGTAGCAGTGCCTATAAAAGACATTGCAGCAGAAGCTATAGCGAAAACCCTAGTAGAGCATTGGATTTCACATTACGGCGTGCCTACTAAGATTACAACCGATAGAGGAGTTCAATTCGAGAGCCGCCTCTTCCAACAACTCACAGAGCTCCTCGGAATCAAGCGAATTCGCACAACATCCTACCATCCGATGTCAAATGGTATGGTAGAGAGATTACATCGGCAACTTAAAGCCTCACTCAGAGCTGTCATTAACAATAATGATTGGGCCACCAAGCTTCCATTGGTCATGTTGAGTTTAAGATCAACAATTAAGCAAGATATAGGATGCTGCCCAGCAGAATTGGTTTATGGAACTACTTTACGTCTACCAGGAGAAATTTTCACCTCAGGTAAAAGTGTTCCAAATGACATAGCCAACTATGTACAACGTCTAAAGCAACATATGGGTGATCTAAGGATAACGCTACCGAGGCAACAGCAACAACTTGTATACATGCCAAAACGACTGACCGATAGTACCCATGTGTTTATCAGAAGGGATAATGTGCAGCGTCCCTTACAACCGGCCTACGATGGTCCATTCAAGGTGATTAAAAGAAATGATAAAACTATTACTATAGAAAAAGCTGGAAAAACGGATGTAATTAGCATCGACAGAGTCAAACCAGCTTTTATCGAAACCGACGATCAGCCAATATATACAGATACTTCGAAAACCATCGAACCACCGAAACGCAAGTCCCAATCATCAACGACATCGACCAACACAAACGAAGAAAATCCAGTAACAATGAGATATGGCCGAAGAGTGAGATGGACGCAACGATACATAGCTACGATTTTGAATTAATAATTTCTTTCACCTCTTCTAATGTAAATTTCATCTTCATTTTCTATGTACAAATCGAAAATTTTAGCTTATCTATTATTATATTCAACATATTTTATGTATTCTTCCGATCTTCCGTTATGATCTTATTTGGCCTCACGGACACATACAAACTCAAACTTACACATATTTTTAATAACTTATACGATAGTTCGATCATATATCTTAATTTCGTAAATTTCGATATTTCCCATCTTGTTAAATTTGACATTTTTTTCGAAAACATAGACACTTTTGTATCTTGTTTACTGGGAGGAGCTATTATAGCAACTCACATTCAATTGAGTTTGCTCTCACCTAATTCGGTTAAGCCCTTTTATTAACTTATTAAACGGACAAAGTCACCTGCAATATAATAACTTATTGTATCCTTATTACTGTTGCGAATGTATGTACCTTTATTATTGTTATCCTTGTATGAATATGTATGCTCGGCAAACCTTACTGCCTACGCATTTATTCACGCTACTAGCTTTACTATTAACCGCTTAATTGACTCGATGATTCATTAATTTCACTATGTATATATATGTCCATGTTATTCATATTCATTACTCGTTCGCTCGTTCATTCACTCGCTCGCTCTTGCCCTTGCTCTCTCTCGCCCGCTCGCTTGCCTGTTTGCCTTTCGGCACAACTATTTCATGCTTGCTTAACGCATCTGTAATTTTGGATATCTGTGTGTGGTCCCTTAATAAACGTAATTAACGCTTCGTATTCGCCTTCTGATTAATATACCGTTGGAGCATTATTTGGTGACGGTTACCGAGACGAACTGTATACGGAGTTTAAGGAATATATCGAACACCGACCACCACAAGGTCAAGGAACCATCAACTAGCACAAAAAGTAATTGACCACTTGATAACTCAAAGCACACCCATGTATAGGCAGGCGCAGGGGCGAGATTGTAATGCGTTTGAAATGTCTTCTCTCTTTAAATTGCGAATTCTGAGTTCATACCTTCGATACGAGTTAGGCCTGTTTATTATATTTGTACTTCAAGTGCCGAAATGTGATACGCCCACTTGATGATTCCCTAGCGCTAAGCGCTCCCAAACGAAATGATTAGACCTACTAACGCCGTCGTTTACGTAAAATATCAGAAGAGCTCTCACTGACCAAACAGATAGCATCAATTCTGGAGTACGAGCGCTTCGACATATTCGAATAAGGATGCTAATTTGTTGTCCACGAAGATCGTTTGTGCCGCCAAGTTATAGACTTCAGGACCAATGGTCATATGGAGGAGCCAGGGAACCCACCATGACTTACACGAACGTCCCTTCGCTGGGAGGATACCCCGGTTGATGAACCAACCACAAGATCTGAGTTCACAAGCCGCGCGGGAACAGCTGACGGACCTCTAGTGCCACTTGTCCGTACCCGAAACTACTTACGGGAAGTCCGGGAGTCAAGCACTGCAGGCAGTTCTACCATGACCACAGACACAAAATCAATCTCACTTGAATAAGGTATCTAATCTACACGCACCAACTTCGCTAGACAACCTGAAGATTTTTGCCTGACTCCAGAAAAAGACTTCCTGACTAAAGCGAGAGACGGACGCGATATAAGTAGCCTTGAAATCTATCTTACGCGTTAAATCCTCCTTTTACCTAGTCACAGCCGAACACTGGAACCAAAACCAACTCCTGTACCTATGGCTTCCACAATCCACTCCGCCGTAACGCATATGAGTGGAACCAAGTAGGGTCAAGAACACATAGATGGCGTCGATGAGGACCACAGTACCCTACATCATGCTTTGCGCCTAAGAGGCCGGACTGACATCCCTCAACCTATGTGAATCACGCAATTTCGTCCGATATATGCCGCACAGACAGTATCCATAGTATATAATGTGTTATTATACTGACAAACACTAGGACATTACCCTCTAACAATGACTCGTCACTAACCACGATTCACTTCATAAAGATACACAGCATAAAATAATGATCTGTTTATTAGAAACAAAAATTAAAAGCATTTGCGATGAACAATACCGGGACCAGATTCATCATATTCCTGTTTGGAAATCCACATCTGCTGGAATGTTGATAGTGAAGCCAAAATAGAACCACCAATCCATACAGAGTACTTCCTCTCAGGTGGTGCAACTATCTTAATCTTCATAGTACTCGGAGCTAGTGCACTAATCTCCTTTTGCATACGGTCAGCAATACCAGGATACATTGTACTTCCACCTGATAATACTGTGTTTGCGTACAAATCCTTTCGTATATCTACATCACACTTCATGATAGAATTGTAAGTGGTCTCATGAATACCGGCGGATTCCATCCCCAAGAAGCTAGGTTGGAAAAGAGCTTCTGGACATCTGAATCGCTCATTACCAATAGTGATAACTTGACCATCTGGGAGTTCGTAACTCTTCTCCAAAGCAGAACTCGACGCTGCAGTACCCATCTCCTGCTCGAAATCCAATGCAACATAACAAAGCTTCTCCTTTATATCTCGGACAATTTCACGTTCTGCAGTAGTAGTAAAACTGTAACCTCTCTCAGTCAGGATCTTCATCAAGTAGTCAGTAAGATCTCTGCCAGCAAGGTCCAGACGCAAAATGGCATGAGGCAATGCATAACCTTCATAAATCGGAACCGTGTGGGTCACACCATCACCTGAGTCCAACACTATACCAGTTGTACGACCAGATGCATACAGTGACAACACCGCCTGAATTGCAACATACATGGCTGGAGCATTAAAAGTCTCAAACATGATCTGTGTCATCTTCTCACGATTCGCTTTCGGGTTCAATGGGGCTTCTGTCAACAACACTGGGTGTTCCTCTGGAGCCACACGCAACTCGTTGTAGAATGTGTGGTGCCATATCTTCTCCATATCGTCCCAGTTGGTCACAATACCATGTTCAATCGGGTATTTCAGAGTCAGGATACCACGTTTCGATTGAGCTTCGTCTCCAACATAACTGTCTTTTTGACCCATCCCTACCATCACTCCTTGATGTCTAGGTCTTCCAACAATGGAGGGGAACACGGCTCTGGGAGCGTCATCTCCAGCGAAGCCAGCTTTACACATACCAGATCCATTGTCGATAACAAGGGCAGCAACGTCTTCCTCAGCCATTTCTCTAAGCAGTGAGACACTTGATTCACTTTACTAAATACGTTTGATAAAATGACCATAAATGGCTAAGTTTGCATTTATGAAATCGGCCAATCAGTGAACAGCTTGCTCAATCAATAATGTAGCAATTACCAATGCTAATTTTTTAGTTGTCTGCCCAGATAATTTATTGGTTGCCCGCATTGTTGATCAATTGTTTAACGTTCCTTTTGTGAGCCTAAATTTCAGTCTGCCTACTCCCGTCAAAAAGATACCTTAGTTTTTTAGTAAGAAAAAATACTATAAGACTTGAGACTACGAGATATCAATCAGCCTGACATATACAATTTATGATTGGTTAATTATTGAAGCTACTCTGTCTGTCTAGATGATTAGGTGTCTAAACTTAGAATAGAACTTTAAATACATATTTGGTGTATAACATATTTTGAGTATAGGATGGTTGTTGATCTTGAAGTAGTTGGATTACTTCGACAACTGTACATTTTTTAGGCTCATGGCTGTATATTGGTGTGAAAATTATTTTAAAGTTTAACACATTTGTCTTAATGTTGTTGTAGGAAACAGATATCAATAATTAGGTCATCGTCTAACACACATTACAAATGCTTATAAATATGTGTGAATAAGAAGTTGAGAATACACTTAATCTGAGATGAAGCATGGGTGAATTGTTACAAAACTGGCAGAATCCACAGCTTTTTCCTTATAAATTGAGAGAGGAGTCCATTGAAGTACATAATGTAGTAGCCTGAAAAACCTGCTACTACCTAGTGGAAAGAATCTAAATGAAACTTATTGAACTGATCCTTCGTTGTAGCTTTCTTATTCAATATCTGGACTAAGGCTACATTAATCTGGTTACATACAAAATTACTGTGTTATCATACGTTGATTAAAGTTATTTGGGAAAAGACAGTTCAAAGTCTCAAGTTTGCAATTCAAGTGGTCGTAAAACGATTCTCAGGAAATGGATAGGATCTAGACAAGATAGGAATCAACAATTTGATTCGACGTTTAGTTAAATAGGAGGAAGTCCCGTTACTTTGAATTATATCATAAGTGAACATATGCATGAAGTTGCCTTTTAATATAGTTACAGTTCACGTGGGCAACAGTGCACTGTTTGTGAAGCAATCTAACTTCATTATCGGTTAGTTTTATTCCAATTTGCGGTATAAGCTATCATTGCACCAATCCACTCCATCATTGAAAAGTGTGAAATGAACAATTTACAAAATTTGGAGTGGGGGATTTATTTCTGATGTAAATCAAATGCCATAACACAATCATTTATAGCGATCACTACATTTAATCAGACAGATCAACTGATTTGTACACTCATTCTTTCTGTGAACAACGCTTATCCATACATTCGAGAAAAATTAAAACTACTAGAAATAGTTCGGCTGACGTTGAACTTTAACAAAACACAATCCTATTGAATTCTTAAATGACTGACCCTAAACTATAGTTAAAAACAAGTAAATAGTGGAGTTCAGTACTAAGACGAAAGAGCCGTCTGCTGTTGCCTGATTCTTAACGACGGTCTAAGATCAGTCCACAATGTAAACTAGGAAACTCAGCAATCTTCATAAACCACCACTCCTTTCCTATACCGATCTGGCTGTTTTTCCGTGTACACTCCTGTGTATCTATGTCTATGCCAATTAACAAGTAGCTTTTGAAATATATTATTTTGATTATTTGTATAAAATGTGACAAGTTTTCATTGGAAATCATTAGGCTGATTTGGATCAGACTGAATTTAACTGAGAGTATCAACAATATGCTACATGTCAGCAAAAAATAAAATTAGTCATTCTTTATTAAACAGCAAGAATGTATTTGTAAAATCTCTGCAAATGAATTTGAAGTAAATTCAATGTTTCGCCTAGCAATCTGGTCTAAGCTTTTTCAAGGAAAATATAATCAAACAACAAAAGTATCGAATATGAATAGGTAAATGGTTCTCCGGTTCACTGTATACTGAATATGTCATCCAATCAACGTTAACAATGTTTAAAGTATGTATTTGCATTATTGTGTAAGAGACATGTGGTATGAAAGGAAAAGTGTTCAGATAACAGATTGTGTGTATACGTCAGTGAGAAGAAGAAATTTCATTCAACTACATATTGTCTTCGATCTGTGAATATTAAGAAAACATAATTTTTATAAATGATATGAATCAAAAATGTCACAGCATGCATAAAATGAAGACAAATAAACAGGATAAAAGACTGAATCCAAAGAGGAGCAATGTATTTGCAACACAAAGTTTGTGTTATTTTAATATTCCAGTCAATTGTTTAACATATTCAGATAAGATAACTGATTTGAACCGTTGAATGTAATATCTGTTATTTAGTTAACACCAGATAGATAGAATGGAATAAGGAGTTCAGGTTTAGTTATTGATTATTGGTTGCCATGGAACAGCTAGTTGTATTGCAACTCCTATTAATAATGTTTGGATTAGCCCATATATGTAGGGCTTCGGCTGTTAGTCTCTGTTTGTAAGAATTAAAGCCTTTTTGAAGGATCCTTGTGCCATTGAAATCAATTGTATGACCCAATTCTATAGAGTATAATGCTATCGCTGATTTCTTCTCGAGTTTTCTTACCTCAACTGAAGATTTAAGAATGTGCTTTAAGCATAGTTTGTGCTTCTTCACCCTCACATTCAGTTGCCTTGATGTTTCGCCTACATACGTTGCATTACAGTCAATACATTTGATTTCATAAACACAATTCTGTTGTTCTTCCTTGTGTATTGGATCTTTGATTCTTACTAGTTTTGATTTTAGAGTATTGTTTGTTCGAAAGAATACTCCTATATTTTGAAGAGTTAGGATCCTTCTGATCTCTTCTGTAATACCTTTACATATGGGATCACCTCTGTGTTAATCCATTCTTTTTGCTCAACTTTTTTTCTAATAATATCGTTTTGTTCTTCATTCTTAATTATTCTTTTAATAAAATACTTTGGATAATTATTCATCATTACAGTGGATATAATTAAATTCATTTCCATTTCTATATCATTTGGTTCAGTGACACGTTTTTAAACTCTGGTGATCAAATTTTTGGCTACTGTCACTTTGCGCTAACTTAAAATGTAGAAATTTCTCTGAATATGTCAGATTTCAGAAAATACTAATTTTTAAACAATCATTATATTTCCATTCAACTAAACAGTCTAGAAAAGGTAATTTGCGTTCAGGAGATCCCAACTCCTTAGACAATTTTATTTTGTCATAAATGTTGTTGACACGTTTAAATAGTTCGTCTAAACCACCTCGTTTTATAATGACAAAAGTGTCATCTACGTAACTTAAAAAATTTTCGGTGGACGGGAACACATTGACATAGCACTGGTTTCTAATGAATGCAACAACTGGAGAAACTGGTGATCCCATAGCTATCTTAAATCTTTTCATTTCACAACACATATCTCTTACACAATAATGCAAATACATACTTTAAACATTGTTAACGTTGATTGGATGACATATTCAGTATGCAGTAAACCAGAGAACTATTTACCTATTTATATTCGATAATTTTGTTGTTTAATTATATTTTCCTTGAAAAAGCTTGGACCAGATTGCCAGGTGAAACATTGAATTTACTTCAAATTCATTATCTGAGACTTTACAGATACATTTTTCCTCTTTAATGTCTCACATCAACTCGTCACCCAAATACTGTGAAACTATTCGGTCAAATTTAGACGAAAGTTCTTATTTAATAATTCTTTAATTTCATATTATGCACATGTATATATATATATATATATATATATATATATATATATATATATATATATATATATATATATATATATATATATATATATATATATATATATATATATATATTATAATTATGATAAGATCTATTTACAATAGCCACACAATGAATCAAATGTTTGAACATCGTTACGAATCATTACAAATTATTTCTAATGATTTAAAAAAATTCCTAAGAAAATTTGTCAGTATGAGTTATTTGGTGTTATTGACTAATAGTAGATATTGGTGGGAAGGGATAATGATATTTGGTTATCGTGTCATCCTTGAACGTCACATGTGAGCATAACAAATAAGGTTAGTTGATGCATAGATGGATTGGTGGTTAAGTAGAGTATATTGAACAATGAGTTAGTGAATAACTGTTGAACTCATCTCATTGAATGAGAATATTTAAATGGTTTGTCATCAAGAAATTCAGTAAGATTGTGTCCTGTTGAAGTTCTGAAAACAAACAGTTGCAGCTTAGAACGTATATGTCCAAAAACTGACTCAATAGCCTGT